AGTGGTTTAATGAGAAACAAAAAAAAAAAAAAAAAAAAAAGAAAGAAATTAGAAAGTACTGAAAAAAATACCCGTAAGCGCAGTGATTTTAAGATAACTCTGCAGGTAAAAAACAGTGGCTTCCTCTTCAGTGCCCCATCTCCCAGAGGTGACAGATGCTAGCAGCCTGGTGTGTGTTTGTCTGACTTGGGCCCACACGCAAGCTGCACTTGGATTATTTTTGTGTCCCAGGGAGGGTGTGCATGGTGGTGAAAGTCCTACTTTGTGCTGCAGAAGCACTTCTGAGTAAGGAGTCTTGTTTTACCATTTTGATAGTTACTTATATCCCACAGTGAGTTGGGAAAAAGGCATTTCAAGGAGCCCAAAGGAAACCTCAGGTGACGAACACAAGGCAGATGCTCACCAATACCTTCCTAGGCAAATCCATGCGCGAGAGGCTGCTGCCTGACAGCCCCTGGTGCCCAGGACCAATTCCTACTTCACTCTCCTGCGCAGACTTGTGTGCGGTGAGGGGTACGAATGACAGATCTGGTGTAAATTCTACCACAAAGGCGGGAATCGTGTTGTTGTCAGATGGGTAGGTGGCTGAAAGAACACATACCTGCTATTCTTTTCACCTTGTCCTCTGTCTCTCCTGCCAGTTTTTCTGCAGCATCTTTTAGCTGTTTCACTCTTTCTAATGTTTCCTTCACGAGTCCTGCAGCACTGATCTCATGTTGAAGCAAAGCATACTGTTTTCTCAGCTCAACCAGCTCCTGTAACAGAGCCAAACCCCACCATCAGAGAATATTTACAAAGCGCCTGTGTGTCTCTAGTACCCCTCATGACTCACAGTCTCACAGAGCAATGCAGAAGAAATCACAATCTAGTCAACGCTCTTGATCACTTTGGTATTTCCAAAAGGGTTTTTATTTGCATGTATGGTTTTTTTCAGGCTGAAAAAAATGCCAGTCCTAGTTAATTAAAAATCAACTTTTCCCCCCAAAATAGCAGTCATCACTCCATGTTTATCTATTTATTTTTTGGTATGAAAATTGAACTCAGGACCTTGTGCTTGTGAGGTAGGCGCAGCACCACTGAGCTAAATCTCTGGCCCAGTCATTATGCCGTGTTAAAATAACTGTCTGTGTGGTATCAGTCATTCTATGTTATGCTAAGCTTGAAGAACAGAAGACAAAAATAATTTTGTCCTTGACAACTATCTCCTTCAGTGTGCCGCTGAGTATTCAAGACGGAGGGCAGAGCAAAGATTTAGAAGCAGTGCGGATACCCAGCTGGCTGGCTGGGAAGGCGAGAGAGAGACAGGCAGTGGCACGGGCCTGTGCAGCTGGCTACCCAGGGTGCTGAGGGAAAAGGATGGAAGCGGACCCTTCGGAGCACACACAGCTTGCGAAAGGACGGTGGAGGGAGTTGAGTGGTAGAGCAAGTGGTAGAGAAACGAGGCAGCGAGGGAGGAAGGGAAGCAGGAAGCCAGGTAGAAGCATAGGCACAAAGATCTCTCTGGAACCAGAACGGAACTCGTGCCAGTGAGTGGCTGACAACCTAGAAGGGCAGGCAGGCGAGACAGGCCGGAGCCAGCACAGGGGCCGCGGGGGCTGGGCGGGCGGGAAGCCCCTTCCTCATCATGTCTTCTGTAGAAAATGTTCTAACTCTCGAGCCAGTGGAAATTTTACCCAGCATAGTAGGAACTAAGACCACGTGGAAGACCGATTATGAAACACTAGCACTTTTCTTTTGTTTAAGCCACTATATGAATGCAACCAACCAAAGATTCCCCACTGCAAAGAAGAAGTGCTGATAGGTTCTTTCAGCAAGCCGAGTGAGTGGGCCGTTTCCCACAGATGTGGAATTAACTCGTTCTGATGTCTGTAACTTGATCTGTTCTCTCTGGAGGTGACTTTAACTTACGCTCTCTTCATATGCCATGTGAGTGAGTTAGAGTAAAAGGCAAATACATACAATAGAGTAAGACGGCACAAACGGAATGCACAGCCTTCAGGGAGAGCTCGCCTTACGGACAGCGTGAGGGACTCCAGGAGGCTGGGCAGGGAGCAAAGCTTGCACAGCTTGGCGGGGCCTCAGCCCTCCACAGGGACAGCCGGCCCTGCACAAGAGCCTGTGTGCACCAGAAGCCCTGAATGCCCACAGTGAGCGGGGGTCTGTACTGAGAAAAATGCAGAGAAGCGGCTCAAAATCCTGGGTGTAAAGGTCACGCTTTGGAGGAGCACCGTCCGCTCCTGGGGGCGGTGGGGGACACTGACCTTCCTGGTACCCTCAGCTTGGTGATGGTCTGACTCTGCCTGCTCCATGGCCCTGCCCGCCTGGGCTCGGCTCCTTTGCCATTTGGTCTGCAGCAGGGCGAGTCCCCTCTCCAGCTCTGGGTGGTGCTTTGCTAAGTCCAGCTTATTCTTCACTCCCTTGGCTTGGTTTTCAGCCTGATTTTGATTTAACGACAATAAAAGAAATGTCCCTTTATGTCCCTCAAAAAAAAAAAAAAAAACAACTGGATTCAAAGGAAAAGAAAATAATGTTTTAACTTTTTGTTGCATTTTTAAAAGTTATAACATGTGAAAAAGGTAAAACAAAATATTTCTGTCACATAAAAGGGTTTAAAGAAAAATATGACACACAGAAAATGTGCCATGTAGATGATAATACTACACAGCTATCAAGAAGGTTGAATTCCGGTCATTTTTAGGGAAATGGATGGATCTTGAGATCCTAACGGTAAATGAATTAAATCAGACAAGAAGGTTAAATAAAAGCATGGTTGTACTTATATGAGAAACCCAAATATAAATAAATTCAAGAATAAAATGGCTGGGCATGGTGGCATACACCTGTAATCTCAGCACTCAGAAGGCTGAGGCAGGAGGGTGACCATGAGTTCAAGGCCAGCCCGAGCTGCACAATGATGTCATTTCAAAAAAAAAAGAGTAAAATAAAGGAGAGATGGTGAGAAACAGGATGCAGACCTTTTGGAGTTAGAAAAGGGGAATGGAATTGAAAATGATCAAGATATAATATATATGCACTAATCCCCCAAATGAAAGCAACTATTATATATCATGAACATATCCATAAAATGAATTTATGAAAAAGAAAACATGACAAATATCATTGTACCACCAGCCGCCTTGGGAATAAAGCACGGATGAAATCCGTGCACAAGTCCCAACCCCCAAGCCAGCCACCATGCGGTACCCATTGCTAGTCCATGTATTACAGCAGGCTTTTCACTGGATACTAGTGTTCCTAACAATATACTTATGCAACTCTCTCTCTCTATCTATCTATCTATATATATATATACACATTCTGCAACTTGAATTTTTAAACTCAAAATTATGCCCACACAAGTTGTACACATTAATTTACATACCTCTAGCTCATCCACTGTTACCAATTTAAAGCATTCTGTTGTTGAATATATGATTTTTTTTATTCTCTAGCTGGTGTTTCTACTTTTTCTTCATATTTTATACATTCCTTGTTTCAATGACTACATACATTTGTCATATCTACAGATCCTATTTAATCTTTTTTTTTTTTTTTTTTTTGGTATCAGGGATCAAACTCAGGACCTTGAGCTTGCCAGGCAGGCACCGTGCCACTGAGCTGTCTCCGTGGCCCTACTGAATCATTTTTAAAGTCTGACTGTTATCTTATCTCTCATTTATTGGTTATAGTTTGTTTTCATCTCTTTGATTTTCTTAGTAAAAATTCCTTACATAGTAAACATTCCTTGCATTTTATAACCAATACTGGTCATACCCACAATCCCTTGCATTCTGATTCTGTTGTTTGTTGTCTTGATGCCTCTTGTTTAAGGCACTTTGTTTCTTTATGTGTTTGGAGGGAATCTGGGGGGCTGGCTTGGGTTTAAGGTCATTACTTCACAGGAGACTTTTGGTTGTCACTGTCTGGGGACTCTAGCAGCCCAGGACCACTTTAAATGATGCTTTTAGCTTGAGTTTTGGGGGCCACCCAGATAATATAAATTCTAGCCTCCATCTCATATGGGAGCCAACTTATGGTTAGGAACTCTTAGACTCCTCCCCTATGCAACTGTGTGTGTGTGTGTGTGTGTGTGTGTGTGTGTCATAGTTTACTATTTCTCTGTGGGCTCTGATTTTTAGTTCCCTCCTTTATGGACTCGGCTCTCTGTCAGACAGAGTGATCCTCAAGCCCAAAAGCTGTAACACACCAGGGTTTGGCAGGTGCCATCTGCTGTCAGATTAGTACCTGATTAGCCTTCGGCTCTGAGGATATCCTTAGTTTCCTATTAAGCCAGCTATGCATTTAAAATTTTTAAAATATACTAATATTTTCTACTAGAAAGGCTTCTTAGGGTATTGGGCCACCATATCTTTAGATATAAAAAGCCCTTCCTGTGCCCTTACACACATGTGGGAGTTTTTCTACAGCAGGAGCCTTATGACCATTCATTTTGGATTAGGAAATGCCTAGCAGATGGCACAGCACACTGGACAGGTCATGTGGGCCTGTCCTGGGTACCACACAGTATGTGGCCCCTGCACCCTTTCCTTCCATCCCCGCTCCCCTGCCTGCTGCCCAGTTGCCGGGAACTGAGCAGCTGTGCTCTGCCATGCCCTTCTGCCAACATGTGCCTCCCTTTGGAGCCGACCATGGAATGAATCTCCTGAACTGTGAGCCAAATGACCTTTCTTCCTTGTTATGTGTATTGGGTATTATGTCCTGCGGCTGGACTAATGAGTTGACTAATGTAAACCTACACACGTTTTCTGAAAAGGGACAGTGTTCTGCCCTCCGTGGTCCCTACACTCTCCGTGCAACCCCTCAGCTCTGTGCCACTGAACCGCAAAAGCTGTCATCACAGTAGGGGCATTGGCTGCATTTTGCCACCCACTATCTGAGAGCCTATGTCCAGAAGACAGAAGGCTAGCAGCTTCCCTTCTTTGCTATCCAAAGAATACAACCTCTTCCTATCTAACTCTTTCACTTCCCGGTGCACTGCTGCATCCTGCTCTGCTTTTGTTTTCGGAATGCATGGTGGAGAGCTATAAAACGCAGCTGAAGCATGAACAGCCAGCCACTTCCGCCCTGTAAGGAAGGGGATGGGACAGAGGAGCCATGGGTCCTATTCTGTTCTCTAGCTGCTGGGTCTCCACTCCCTGCACCATCGCATGGTTAAACTGTGGCCTGGCTCTGCTGAGCTTTGTGAGCTCTTTCAGGTGAGATACTGCTTCAGTTTTGGAATACTCGGACAAACTCACGTAACTTTAGTTACAAAAACCCTTGCAAACCTGGGCGTGACTGCCTATAATCCTAACACTCTGGGAGGCTGGGGCAGGAGTACTGCAAAACTGAGCCCAGCCTGGACACCTCAGTAATTTAGTGAGACTGTCTCAAAATAAAGAATAAAAAGAGGGCTGGAAATGTAGCTCAGTACAAATGCCCTGGGTTCAATCTCTAGTATGGAAAAAAGAAATTTCAGCAATTAACTTCCTTTCTTCTGCTCCTGAGCTTGTAAAAGTCTATGGCTTGCTTGTATTAATTATCTGTGTGGCCCCAGAGTCCCATAACCTCCCTGGGTCTTAGTTCCTTCACTTACAAGTTGGCAGTCGTACCCTTCACATCCCCTAAAATGAAATGATGCTAAGGGCTCTGTAGGGCATAATTAAGAAGATAATTCCGTCAAACATTACTGTCATAACAGCACTGCATTGACATTAATACAGGACATTAATTAGGAAGGGACCCCATCAGCATCTTAATTTATCCTCACCGGCTTCCGTTCAGACAGACAGACCTGCAGACCATGTGACACCCAGAAAACCACAGTGTTTTCCCCCACACAGTCTACTTCAGGTTAGTTTCAGCAGAGAGAGAGAGAGAGAGAGAGAGAGAGCGGTAAATACCTGCAGTGCATTCTTTTTCATTCGTGTTATCTCAGCCTTCAGCCGTGTGACAGCAGAGCTGGCCCATCCTTGAGTGATTTGTGCTTGCTGCAACTTGTCCAGTGCTTTGTCACGGTGGTTTAAGAGAACATCTGCTGCTTTCCTAAGGTAAGACATTAACAGCAGATTAGCTAAATATGCAGTTGTTCATTTGCTTCACTTCCAGAGTCCACTCATCCAAACACTGTTCTGAACTATTTATAGAGTCAATTTAAATTCCTCCTAACCAGGACAAAGTGCCGAAGTCTTCATTTTAAGAAACAGACATATTTAAATGCCATAACACACGTACACATCTGCTCGCGTATCCAAAAAAAAGGGGGGGGTTGCCCAATATAGACTTCTTTGCACATTAAAACTATGGCCTGGGCCGAGGATTTTAGCTCAGTGGTTCAGCACCTGCCTCGCAAGTGGAAGGACCCAAGTTCGCTCCCCGGTACCAGAAACAAAAACAAAACAAAATGAAACTATGGCCAGCGGCCCACAGCCTGATTTCTCGACGTGCGCTTCAGCCCCAGGTGTCTCTGGAGTGGGGTTGAGGGAGGCAAGGGAGCAGGCAGGACTGCACTGCTGCCGGCGTTTATCCAGGGCTTTTGAGCTTTGCTGATGTCCCGGGCGGCCGCAGGGGTCCAGTTAGAGGTTACAAGGACTCCAGTTACGGGGACACAGGCTGTTTTACGGAAGGGAGCTCACCTGGAATCCACATGCACCAGATACTGAGCTCTCCGGCCTCAAAAACGCCTCGAGCCGAATGAAATGAGCCAGTGGGCCCTTAGGTAGACCTGCCCGGAGGAGGCCATGGAGCAGAACCCGCAGAAGCCAAACAACCACGCCTCACCCCAAGGCCTCTGCCCTGGGGCAACCTCCCCCTTTCTGGCCCTGAGGAATCTGCCCTCAGAGCACAGACCAACCCCACCATTTCATCTCCGTAACATTCCCAGGGTAGCGTGCATTTCTTCTATTTCCCCCACTATATATTTTTTAAAATGTTTTGTTTTTTAGATTTTCAATGTATAGCTCCTCATAATAAATTTAGATTGTACCCAAAAAAAAAAAAAAAGGTAAAGAAGAAAAAAAATGTGCACCAGTAACCCTACTACCTGAGACGAGACTGGCATATCTGAGCATTTATTTTGTCCTAACTTTTCTCCTTTGCATGACCGAGCTCCTCCAGCATGTGTGTTACCTGCTTTTAAATAAAAGCCTGGCCTCCATACTAGTGGAGTCTTTCGTCAGTGTCATTTTAAATAGAAGTTACCTTATCTCCCTGGTTTTAACATTAAGCCCGGAAGGGGTTGGATTGTGTGTGGGTGCTTCTGGTACACTTCACTTGCATCCCCAGGTGGTGGGCAGCGGGCTGCCCAGGTCCCAGTGGGTGCTGATGCCACCACCAGGCCACGCAGTGCTCCATGCTCAGAAACATCAAGATACCTTTGCTTTTTTGCTTGGCTAAGCCAATGGCAAAAGGAGGCATTAGCGCTGTTACTATACATACCAGTTTACTTCGGTATTATGCGGGGTGCCTGTGTCCATTTCTTCTGTTCTCCACCATCATATTTTTTTTCTGTAGTCTTTTTTGTTGTTGTTGTTGTTACTGGGGATCAAACTCAGGTCCTTGCACTCGAGAAGCAGGTGGCAGAACCACTGAGCTAAATCCCTGGATGTAGTCTTATTTTTAAATTTAGTTGTTCAAGGCACTGTTTATTATAATACTTTAAAAGTACCAAAAACTAGGTAAAGACAGGAAAACTATACCATATTCCAATCAGCTGTTAAAATAGTGCTGCAGAATTCGTGTAGGGTATGTACTGGTACGCCTCAGTATTAAGAGGTCCCAGGCCCCTGGAAACATGTTTAGAACCTGAGAAAAATCAACACAAGCACCCCTGCACAGCACTTCCCAACTGCCCAGCTCCTGGTGGCACCTCTGGAAAGAGCTGAGCCTTCAGTTTGTACAGAGCTATTGGGGCTGATTTCATCTGCACGCTACCGCTCCCTGGGCAGACATTTTTCAGAGGGCCTTGCAGCAGATGGTCTGTTAGAGCAAGGGGAGCCCTTACTCCTGTACTTACTCAGCCACTTTCACCTTCTCCAAAAGCTTCTGGGCTCCAACTGTTGCTTTATTCAGCCCATTCTTCTCTGCCCTGTGGTTCTCATACAGTTGCATAAGTTTCTGTATTTACTCAAGTTCCTGGGTCAGATTGTGTGATATAATTGGTAGGTGGATGTCAAGAACACGATTTGCAGATTTGCAACCTTCTGAATGTCCTCCGGAGGCACTTTCTCCTCTGAGATAAGAAGGGGGTGTCAGATAACCGTGCTCCCTTAGCAACACTCTGTCTTTAGGACACATCGCCCCAGTGAACTCAGTCACACGCACTTGCATTTGATAGCGTGTCCCTAAAGAGAGGGCCTAGATCGTACATGTTGAGTAGATGCCTCTTTGTCCTCAGGGTTCCCTACCTTGGGGAGAAGTGATGCTCGTGTGGTTCTGAATACCTGCCGAACAAACGCTTGTTGGAAAAAAAGGAAAATGAAAGACTGGGAACATGGTGTACATTCCACAGAATGTGGTCCTCAAAATTATAGTAAGTACACATGCAAAAGCAATGAAAATGTTAGATGCATTAAAATTTAAGGACAAAAATAAAATTTAAGGACAAGTTGGGGGGAGACTGGCTCTGAAGTGACCCAAGTTCTGATCTTCCATGACCATGAAATGCTCACAAGTTTTGCCCATCTAAATAATTGGGTAACTTTTTCTGATGCTACTCCTCGAAGGCCCATACAGAGGGGAATGTGACCAGGCAGGATAGAGTATCACGTCAATATCGTAGGGTAAAGAGGCAGTGCTTTTCAGAAGAGCAGAAGCTGCCGGCTGAGGACCTCGGTGGAAGACTGACGGTGACACGCTGTGCTGCTCCTTCCCACAGGGAAAGTTGGAGGTGGAACAGACGCGGACCTGACCCTGAAGGGGCTACAGTCAAGTGGGGAAAGAGCTGTTAGAGACAAACGCTGCCATCCTAGGACAGAAGTAAGAAATGCAAGGCGGAGGAGAACTGCAGGGAAGGGCGCCAGATAGGCGTTGAAAGTGGGCTTTGGAGGACAGCAGGTTAAACTTGTGAAGAGGCCCGCAGGTATGGGAGCTACGGGGAGCGGGAAGAGGCATCCTAGGCAAAGGAAGCTGCAGAAGCCAAAGCTCAGGCGGGTGCAGTAATCTGGGGGAGTGGTGTGTCTAACGGAGGAGCTGGGGTCTGGATGGGCTGGGAGCAGACAGACAGCGCAAGTCCTCAAGTGTGGGCCCAGGAATTTAGACTTTGCCTGAGAATGGCAGGAAGACAGATACACTTTCTTCCCTTCTCTCTCTTTCTCTCTCTCTCCCTCCTCCCCACCTCTCTCTCTTTTTTTTCTTTGTTTTTTTCCCCCAGGGTGTTGGGGATCCAACCTGGACCTCGTGAATGCTAGGAGTTGCTCTGCCACTGAGCTACACCCCCCAATCCCCAGAGAAGGCTTGAAGTGACACGACATGAGTATACAGGGTCTTTTTTTTTTTGTAATAATTTTTCCTTCAGCTGTTTTGCTTACTATACAAGGAATATTTCACTTTCCATAACATTTCTGAAACAATGTAAGAACTCTTTTGGTGACTAAACTAAAACTGTATTTTAAACAGAATCAATGAGTTAGCTTTTAAAAGAAATAGTAACTTTTTCTAATTAGAAAGTTCTATTAAAAGTGAACTTAATCATTTCATTCATAGAATTTTTATCAGTATTTATTACAAGATCACAGATTCAAATTTTAGATCTAGAACGTTCAGGAGAAGAGACCCATGCCTTTGTCAATCACACGTTCAGATTTCAAGGAAAACAGTGAGATGTCAAAGCACAGCTCGGTGGACAGGTACCATTGAGGGAATGATAATTTTATTTGGGCTTGGTAGCCAGGGCGTGGTCACCACAGGTCTAGGGGCTCTGATCAGAGGGAAGTTTCCTATATAGAAAAGGATTTTTTTTTTCTATGCCTAGTATTTTTTTCCTTTTCTTTTATCTCCAGTACGGAGGGGTTAAAGCCACAGCCTTCACACTAAGCTGGGTCCCCATCCCTTTCTTATTTTGAAACAGGATCTCACTAAGTCACTAAATTGCCCAGGCTGGCATCAAACTTGTGATCCTCCTACCTTAGCCTTCCAGAATGCTGTGATTACAGGCGTGCATCACCATGCCCAGCTCTATGTCTACTTTTAATAATAGCTCTGTATGACTTTAGCTGTAAGAATGTGGACATTGTTTTTAATTCCTCAGGATAATAACAGTGAACTTTTTAATAGAAATTTATCCAGCAGCAATAAGAGAACAGGCTGTATGACTAGTGAATTTGGTGAAGGCAGTTTATGCTTTTTCTACTCTACCAGGACCATATACCATCATTTTCATGCAGCTAGTTAGACATGTTGGCTTTGGTTTGGCTTTTAAGCACTGAATGGATTTATATCTGCAGAAATTGCTAAAGTGTTCCTTAAAACAACCAGTTCCAGGATCAGTGTCTAGTTGACACCAATCTGAGCAAGATTTCAAAAAACAAAATGTCTAGTAAACTAATTCCACTCTCTCATAGTTTTACTGATTATTTTGATCAAAGGTCACTTCTGCCTCTTTCTTGTTTTGGAAAAATCAGAACCAGAAGGTACTGATACAATCTCTAGAAAAACTGAGAGAGAAAAAATTTGCCACAGGGATCTCTTATTAATGCTAAATAGGTTAATGAAATGATAATGGATACCCCAACTATTAATCCATGTGGAAAGTATAAATTATCAAATTTGGAAGTGGTTAAGGAAAAAACCCTAAGATTAATTCTACAGAGCACTGTAACCAAACTGTCTTATTTGATGAGAGTAAGACTTCAGATCAATTTCCTACTACAGTATTTGCTTTATCTTTAATAGTTCTCTGGAGTTTAAAACAGCTGCTTCTCTCCCAAAATATGGCACAATGAATATCAAGTCAAGTAGTTTCTCTTGGTGAGTGATGGGCAGTCAACAAGTAACTTGGAAAATAGCCGATGATAGTTAATAATCTACTTTTTAGATGACACTTCAGAATGGTATTTGATATCCTAATGTCTTGATCTCTTATCATCTCTGCCAGTAAAGAAAATTACTGCATCCTAGCACAAGGGAATCTGATAGAAGGTTAGCATGTGGAATTTCTAATTTTCAAAACAACAAAATAGCTTTAAAAATAAGTTTCTTTGTTTTGTATTTTAACTAAATTCTAGCATTCATTACTAAATTAACCTTACGCCGAGAGCCATCATTTTTTGGGCACAGATAATATTTTGATATTATTTTCATTAAGAAATTTAAAACCAAGGGGTATAGAATTCTCCTGAGTTAGGAAAATGCCATTTCTAATTAATGTAATTTAGAATTGGTTATGATATTTGCACATCCATTTTTTGGGGGTACCAGAGATCGAACTCAGGACCTTGCACTTGTGACACAGTTGCAGGGCCACTGAGCTAAATCCCTGGCCCACACATGCATTTTTTTTTAAAGGAAGAAACAAAATAATTTTTATACTTTGAAACAATTACCTAACAAAAAGTTTTTGGCTTTTCTGATGAAAAGATTCATTTTTTCTTCTTCGGATTCACTTTGGTTTTTCATATTTTCCAGTTTCTCACTTAGCTGTATGGCATTGTTTTTGGAGACTTCTGTCAGTTTACTTATATTTTTTATCTGGAATAAGAAAAAAGCAACAATGAGGAAAACATACAAAAATTAAGTATGTCTTGGGGATGTTTTATTACATAGCTGGACCAAATAAAAATGTTACTAAAAACTTAATAGAAGTCTAGATAGTTAAACCACAGATTCACTTTAAAGGGCTCTTTTAAAAGGTAATTATTATCTGTTTCGTTATAATGTTTTCTTACTTAATATTACAAATTTACCTTTTATAATATTGTTAGCAATCAAAATTATTGTTGGAAAAAAACATTGCCCTAGCATTAATGAATTTTCCTAATGTAAATCTACAACATAAATAAATTCTGTTTCAATTAGACTCTGGCATTCCCTGAAACCAACAAAGTACACAGAAGTTACTTAGGACTGCTAAACTGACGTCGGTTAGCTTAAGAGCAGCTTCTTTTATATGAGTTAAAATAGTTACTTTTCTAAACATTCTTCAAATTCAAGTAATGTCCTTTCTTGGAAAGCTAACAAGAAAGCATTCCTCCTTTCATCAGTGCGCCTGACCCGAGGGTGGGCTGCCGAGATAAATCCCAGACCTCGGTGTACTTAAGGGAGATCAGAGGAACACATGGGCCAGAAGCTAAAAGTGCAAATTCTTAATTATGTGATCTGAGGAAGGTCGTGGATTTTTCCTAGGATTCCAACAAATTAGAGGAAGGGGGTGAGCAGAAAGCCATAGGACGAGATCGTCAACAGGCTAAGCTTTATTGAATAAATGAACTGTGACAGAAGTAGGGCTAATTAGGATCAAACATAATTAGGCAGGGAAAATCTCACCTTGTTTCTCCACAGGAGGAGCCTGCTTAATTTAAGCCATGCTGGTTTTGTAAAAGGGTTGAAGTTATAGTCATTAGCAAGCGATAACACAAAAAAAGTATCTCTGATTAAATGTAGGAGGTTTTTGAGAGTTGATCGAGACCTTTAACCTTAAAATGCACAGCCGTAAGGATGGATAGCAGCAGAATGAGAATTCCAGATAGGAAAGCGCCAAGTGAAAAATATGAAATCTTGGAGATCAGTTGACATGTAGTCAGAAAGAGACTGTTAAACCACTTCACTCTTGAGCCATCCCCCCACCTCCCGGTCACACCGAGCCTGAGAATTCTGTCCCTTCCGGTACTCCCCAGCTTCTGCCAGAGAGAAAAGCTGCACAGCACTTTCTCAGCATAGCAAACCTGTCTCACCCCCTTCTGGCTTTTCCTTTACATGCTGCTTAAGCCACATTGTGCTTGCACAGACCACAGGAGTTACCGTTTAGTACTGACAGCTGAACGCTATTATTAATCATAGACTCGAGCAGTAGTAAGGGCTTATTCCAATGGTGTGAGATGTCTACTTTTTTTTTAGGAGAATAGTTAAAAATTACATTAAACAAGTAGGGACTATTTTAACCAGTGGGATACAAGATCAGGATTTGCATTTTTATGATTACTGCTGTACTATGAACTTGTAGACTCATGCCTGGCATGGAGTAGGTCTCTGTGCATATTTGTATAAGCAGTGAAGAAACACATCTAAGCATAAAACCCTGTAGTAATAACGCAGAACTGTGACTGTGTAAACTCCGATTTCCCACACTGACTGTGGAGGCTGTGCTCCCCCTTGGTCTCCTGATAGTTGCTCCATACCCTGGACTGTAGCGAGCGGACAAGCATGTGGGTGTGTGTGTTCATCTTGGGTATGGTTCCCACCCTGTTTGAGTCTCTGTCGTCCCTGTCTTTGCAGTACTACAGTGAAATTGAACCTAAGGTCTCTGCACTGAGCTACATCCCTAGCCTCTCAAGTTTTTTTTTTTTTTTTTTTTTTTTTTTTTTTTTTTTTTTTTTTCACTTTCTTT